CATGCTGTCGAAGAGAACATGTGGTCACTGCTGCAGTCTTCACATTTGATGTTATCTGTGCAGTCATGCTTACTGCAGCAGGGGCAAATTGCTGAGTTGTGACAGGACTCGTCAGCTCTGCTGCAATTTCCTCTTCTGACGTGTCTTGAAGACACATAGCATGGTCGCGTACAATGCCTCGACATGAATTGAGAGTTTTGTGCACTGAGACAACAATCTCAGTATTTGCGAAATGATGTGCTTGGAGACGATTTAGAGATTGTTGTCGCTTTACAGACTCCACAAACAGTGAAACAGACAGGGCTAAAGAAGTTTGTAAATAGTGATATTGTGAATATGTTTATGAAATTTGACATTATTGGGTTGTATGAAACTTTTAGTAGATCAGAAACTGAATTCTCAGACTTATTACCTGGATATTCTCACTATGGAGCTGCAAGGGAGTACTCAGGTTCAGGGCGTGTAGCTGGGGGAATATGTGTATATGTTCGGAAAAAAACATTGCCCATTTGTTCCAGAGAATATGCTCAAATTATGCAAATGGAATATTCTTATTGTTTGATGGGACCACTTGTACATTTGACATGAAAACAGTATTGTGTTTCAATTATATCCCTCCAGAAAGTTCAACGTATTACAGGACTGTAGATGAGACAAATGGGATTGAGAGCCTCCGGAGTCAACTAATGACTGTCATATCTGAGTATGGTGACAATATACAGTTTACTGTAATAGGTGATTTGAATGCGAGGGTTGGACTTGAGCAAGATTTTATAATTGATGATGACATCACATACCTGGATGCAGAATATGATACTGACTGTTTTAACATTAGAAGAATATCCAAGGATAATGTTGTGAATTTATTTGGACGATCACTACTATCGCTATGTCGAGTGATGGGGCTATCTGGAGGAGATAGCTGTGGTAATTTCACTTTCATCTCACATACTGGAAAGAGTGTAATAGACTATGTCTTGGTTTCTACAAGTTTGTACAAAAGTGTTTCAGATTTTGACATTCTTGCCATACCAGAATCAGATCACCTACGAGTGACATGTAGACTTACTTTAATCCCTCAAGTTAATCCACACAAGACAGGACAGCAGTTAAAGTCATGGAATTGGCTAAATTGGAAACCAAACTCCAGCCAGCTATATGTTGACCAACTTGTAAATGAAGCATGCAACAGCGAGCTGCAAATGACATTTGTAAAGAATCTGGATGATAATGACATTAATGCGGCAGTAAGCAATGTGCTATTTTAAGTGGTATGAAATCAAATAAGGGGTCTGAGGGGCGCTTCCCTAGTCAGCCCAAGTGGTGGGACCATGAATGTGAGATTCTCAAAGGTGAAAAATATAAGTGTTTAGACAAGTTTAGATTATCTGGTTCTAACATTAACTTCAAGAATTATATTTTATCAAGAAATAAATTTAAGAATGCATTTAAACAAAAAAAAGCCAGATATGACATGGCGGATAAACCAGATGTAATGCGGGTGATAAATAATGAGGGTGTGACCACACGGGACTTATGGAAATTCCTCAAACGCAACAACAGGCAAGGGAGGTCTGGCAGTGAAGCAATTTCACCAGAGGAATGGTATGATCATTTTTCATCACTGCTCAACAACAGTAACTTTGATACTGACTCTGACTTCTGTGAACATGTACATAAATTTATCAGGGATAATGAAGATCACACAGCCTGTTGTGACAATGTTGAGGGTGTACAAGTTTTAGATAAGACTATTACTATGGAGGAAATTAGATCTGTAATTAATTATCTCCCCAACGGCAAAGCGCCAGGAACTGAAGGAATTTTAAATGAACATTTAAAAAGTGTATCTCATATACTTTTACCATATATCCACAGGTTATTTAACAAAATATTATCTGTTGGAGTTTACCCATCACAATGGACAGAGGCAATAATATTTCCTATTCATAAAAAGGTAAAAAAAACAGATCCTAATAATTATAGGGGAATATCTTTGTTATCAGTAATTGGAAAGGCCTTTACCAAAATACTAAGTAATAGACTTGTTGGCTGGTGTGAAGAAAAAGAAAAGCTGTATGAGGAACAAGCTGGCTACAGAAATGGATATAGCACCATAGACAATATATTTGTATTACAATCAGTTATTCAGAAATACCTCTCCAAGTCAAAAGGGCGCAGCTATTGTATATTCATAGACTTTTCGAAGGCATTCGACAGCGTCCATCACCATTTATTGAAATATGTACTTTTACAAAAAGGTGTAAAAGGTAAATTTTTCACAGTTATCCTCACTGTCTGAGTTCTTTGAGTGTACAATAGGAACCAGGCAAGGTTGTATGATAAGCCCACTGTTATTGACTCTGTTTCTGAATGAGCTAGTAGATAATTACAGGTTTAATGATGGCAAGGGTATTTTTGTCAATGAGTATGCTGAAAACATCACTTTGATAATGTTTGCAGATGATATTGCTAATGTTGGAGATTCTGTTAGAAGGTTACAGCACCACATAGATTGTCTCGCAGGATTTTGCAGTCAGTATGGGATGAGGGTTAATTTGGCGAAAACGAAAGTCATGGTATTCCGTAGAGGTGGTAGAGTAACAAAAAAGGAAAAGTGGTATTATGATGGTATTCCTCTGGAAGCAGTATCCGCTTATAAGTATCTTTGTGTGTTTTTCACTACTAAGCTCTCATGGAGTTTGGCAAGACGTACCCTGGCACAACAAGAAGAAAAAGCTCTGTATAGTTTGTTTGGATTCTTGAAAAAGTCTAAGCTTAACATTAAAGAGTCCTTGTTTCTATTTGATAGGATGGTTTCTCCAGTCTTATGTTATGCATCATGTGTGTGGGGATTTGAAAGTGTTCAAGGTATAGAAAATGTGCATTGCAAATTTCTTAGAAAAGTTCTCCATGTTAATGCAAACACTCCAGCAGCAGTCTTGAATGGGGAGCTAGGACGGTATCAATTACATGTAACAACCATGTTCAATTCAATTAAGTATTGGCTGAAAATATTAATCATGTCCACAAATAGGTATCCTAAGGCTTGCTATCTGATGTTATATCAGTTAGATTGGGCTGGTAGAGCCACATGGGCAACTAGAATAAAATATCTGTTAAACATACTTGGATTTGGTCTAGTTTGGTTTGAACAGGGTGTTGGTGACATAACCCATTTCCTTAGCATTTGTAGGGAAAGGTTGCAGGATTGTTGGAAACAAACATGGGCACTATCTATAAGTGAAACAAGTAAGCTTAATAATTATTCCATTATCAAATCAGTGTTGGAGCCTGAAAGGTATTTGCACAATATGAAGAGTAAAAATTTAAGAATTGCTCTTAGTCGATTCAGATGTGGTAACCACTAACTGGCTGTTGAAATTGGGTGGTGGGGAGGAGTTGCTAGAGAGGATAGAGTATGTAAATATGAAGTTCATTTTATTACATCAGGTTACTTGTATAACAAATTCAGAAATATGCTTTTGCCAAGTATTTGCACTAGTAATCTTTGTACTCTTGACAAATTTGAGAAAGTTATGACAGATAATTCTTTGTCAGAATCTTTAGCACTGTATATTGTTAAATGCACGCAGGCAAGGCAGGTTTATCTCAGATGTTAAAGGGAGACAACTGTATATATAGTTTACGAGTGCTTCACTTACTTTTGATGATTATAGTAGATCTTTTCTTAATAATTGTAATTGTTGTTTGTAATTTAAAATTGTTGTGACTTGTACATATATACACATGTACTCTGTGCTGGAGGCCTTTATTACAGAATAAAAGAGTCTTGAAGTCTTGAAGTCTTGAAACAGACAGGAGATGAGTAGCCTTTTTGACAGTACCACATATTCCTTGAATATATTTGGAAACTATGGGATTGATTTTAAGGGGTTCTGCATCAACACCTTCAGCAACCAGAAATCGTGGCCAAGAATCGATATTGAATATAGATTCCTCATCAAAAGATAGACCAGTGTCTGTGTCATTATTTGGTACGAGAACCAGTGAATTGTGAGTTAGCCATATGGAAAAGGAAATATATTCAACATCCCTGCTCACATCCCGCCATGAGTGTCAACAATGACGGTGTTAAAGGGGAAAGGAAACCCACTACAAACACCAGGACCACAGAAAAAGGATACAGGTAGCTATTGTTGTCAAACAAGGTAACGGTCATGCTTGTTCTGCCCTTGACAGTCACCTGAAGACAAATAGAACCCGGACTGGCCCATGAGCTACCACCTTCTGGCATAGACAAAATTAAATGAATTATATAACATGGTACATAAACTCACAATATGTCACGTTCAAAACCATTGCTTTAAAATTGTTTTGTAAGTCAAATTGTCCATGCACAGTGCATGGCCTGACCAGCCGATTGATAGAAACGGGCCCATTCTACCACCAGTCCAGATGAAGTTAGGGTCAAAGTGGTGTGTGGGGTGGGGCAAAAGGAAGGCTCCAGTGCCCTCAACCACCAGAATTCCGTCCTCTGCCGACAGAGAGGCCCAAACTATGGCAAACGGGTTGCCAAATGGAGTGCTAAGACACATTCTACCCCCGGAACCCACGGTGTAGGAAGTCCAGGAACTCATAACATATTTGGGTATCTAAATATATCTTAGTAGAGTTACTTCATAATTATTTAAAATCGTTAAAATCATCATTACATAATCGTTAAAGTCATTCTTTAAACTGTTTCAGTTTGAAGCTAGTACTTACCAGTGTCTTAAGTGTACAATGTACAGCTAACCAACTACAGTGACAGGTATTATTGATGCCATTTGATTGTGAAATCATGGTAACCGATACGTCACAATGGTCAGCAAAGCTGCGATCTCAGTGTAGCGATGTCTCCGAGTGAATGAGATCAAGCGTTATCTCCTGAAGAAGCGAGTTGTGTGTCGTATTTATAGCATTGCAGTCGGTGCTGAAGAAAATACACCGACACAGGACATTCATACAAGCAGAACAACGACACTAGGAACGAAATATTTCAGTGTTGATACTGATTTAATAAAACAGGAAACAAATATGGAAAATTACAATTCTTTATCCATTTTGCAAACCGGCAAAAAGGTCGTCTGGAGGAGGTCCAACCATGTCCTTTGAAAACAAAGGTTTGTTTGCACTTTCGATGCCTGAAATATTAATATAATCATTATAAAATATCAATTGATGATATTATGTCAAACAAATACTAAAGTACAAAAATATATATGAAGATTAAACGCAAAAATGCAACGAGATATTAATCCATAGTTATACTATATATATTGAGCCTTTCTCCCTTCTGTATATGGTATCGTCGCCTCTTATCGTTACTTGTAGAGTTGTGTCTCCTGTTAAATCGCCAGAACCATATGATTGTTGGTTCGAATCCTGGTTTCCCCGACTTTGTTTCTAGTTTTGTCAGCACTATACCCGTATCCGCGGGTTTTACCGAAGTTGTAAACGTTTAAGGCCTTCATCACTTTGGGCCTCCCTCCAACATTGAGCTGATACGTCCCGACAAAACTCGAATAATGCTCAAAGTGTTAAATCAAACTCACTGACTCTTATTGTCACTTAGCATATTCTACATGCATGAGCTGACTTTAGTTCGGATAAAACACTCCCTCGACGAACATCCAATAGCTATATTGGCGAACATTGGGAGGACAAGGTGACAGTTGTGACCCTTACTGCGATGTTGGTTGTTGTCAAAATTATAACCTAATTTATGTTAATTATCACAAAAACCTTTCTCCCTGACGGTCATGATGTTCACACTACAAGTGGATGCATCAGTTGGTATGCGGTCTACAGTGAGTCCCACAATAACACTATTCCGTTGCTACTTCATTTTGTGACGATAACCAAATAAGCCGAGTAGAGTCCAATGCTTCCTTTGTTGCCTTTGTTATAAGCTGAAGGTGACTGAACCTCACACATCAAACTACACATTGATATTAGGAGGGTTGCTGGGATGTTATTACATTTAGAGTTTTAAGGATATAGTCCATCTGACGTGATAGTAATTATAGACTAACATCCTGATAAAAAGTGTTGTATATCAAACAACATTTCAAGCAATTCCCATTTTACGATAATCCATTTTATTGCTTACGTACGGGACACGAACGAGAGTGGCCACTGACATGAGAACACTGTACAAACATACATAAACTGTCCTGTGTTATTGGTTTCCTTACATATTGTGGTGGGTTGCCAAGGGATGCCGGGGAGGGGGATGAATGGCTGATGCGCAAACATTTAAACAGTAAAAATACAATAGGAGCTTCCCTTTTGCTGAAGGTGGTCAAAGCTAACAATGTGAAACCAAAGGACTTTAACCATGTGTGCCAAATATTTGACTAATTAAACATATGTCTGGCTAAACTCAAATGTAAACACCTGTCGGAAAAGGATCTAAGAGGAAAGCACATGTAGATAAAAAGCAACCATCACATGAAATCATACTGTAACATTCTTTCCCTTTAAGTCTTTGAAGGAAGTTAAAAGTGATATCATTTCACCTTGCGAAGGAGTAAGCATATATTCCGAAACGTTGTGTTCCTCATAATAAAGAAGTTTACATCCAAAAATTCTCTTCCTCTCATCCTCTTCAGTTTAATTTTATAACTGACATGCAGTCTCGGGCGACCTGGAACCGGATACTATTGTATTGAAAATCTTTTTACACCGGATTTGATATTAATAGATTATTAAATATTTTTTATATTTATTTAAATTAGAATGGCCGATGGACATGATCTCCCTGGTTCAATAAAGTTACAACTTTACAACTAAGAACCACAAAATATCCTTTCCAAAGCGGAGCAGATTTCATATTTGAAAAGCATTCATACAATAGATTCCTACTATATTTACCTGGATATATTTGTCAATCGTTTTTTTTCCGAATTTCACAGATGGACGAAAATAGGATTACGACAGTCAACCTAGTGAAAAATATACATCTCACAGATGTCACGCAAATTTCAGAACTATTCAATATTTCAAGCACTGATTCAACTTGGGTTTCTGCAAAACAATTTATGAATCAGATTGTCTTACATCTTCTTGTAAGAAGACAGTAGATAGAAGTACGCACTGGTGTATATTTTAACAGTGATAACTGCCCGGTAAGTTCTGACTACCCTAACGGTTTTGGTTATATATATTTGTATGAATAACTAAATAACAAAATATGCGTACAAATAGGCGAAATCATATTGAATGTTATCAAATTGGCTCATTGCAGGTACACCACGGGTATAGGTTGATGAAGGTAAACTTGGACAGCATGAGTCAGGCTTTTTAACTTTAACGCTCTTATCGCTCAGGGAGTCACCAAAGGTAGTAGTACGGTTTTCAAAAGTGGTAGTGAGTTATGTCTACTTTATGAGAAACACGACAAAGAAATAGCACATTAATGATTATTAAACATGATAGTAAATGGTTGCGTTTTTTACAAATACAAATTTTATTCACACGCGGCAATGTTTTTTAAACGTTAAATGTTTTAAAGGATGGTTTTCATTTCAAAATGATTTTCCCTCAATGGTGAAAGTATTAATTGGCCCACAAAAATAGCCACAAATTACCTGTCGCCATGGAAAATCACTATTATAATTATAGTTGAAACGAATTTCTTGACCAGTTTTGATGAATCTGTGAGCGAAATAAGCAACGTGAGGTCGCCCGTCCACAAAAATTAACCTCGCCATCGCGTTTGGGAAACGCCACTCATCATTAAAGAGACGACCATATGATCCATCATCTTGGGAAGCATCGATCCTTTTAACATGAAAATGCATAAAATATTACAGCTTGAAAAATGATACTAGGAAGCACTGATCCTTCCAATATGAAAACACACAAACAGTAATAGCGTAGTGAATGAATTGTGGCAGCATCAATTTTGAATTTGAAAATATACAAAATATCTTAAGCCGGACAATACACTTACACACTTTTGCATCGGATATTTTGATAACAGACAAATTCAAACACATGATCTGAGACTATCTGGACCAAATGTACAACCCTTATTAGACTTACTTTTCAAAATATCATCTAGAGCTCATACATTATACTGGTTCAATAGCCTTGCTTTGATACAATCCATCTAGAGGCATTTTAAAATGGGATCTGTATGACCAGTTTCCAGTGGGGAAAGACAGCTCCTATACTTACCAAAAAGTGCGATCGTCGAAATGCATTTCGAATGAGTACTCGTCTATTATTGGCTTCTCTACACAATATTTTCCATGGTAGTAGGTAATATAATCGCCTGGACCAAAATCCTTGTCAGCAACTATCCCCCTTCCTGAGAACAAACAATCAATTGTGTAGTGTAACATTAAATGTTACTTCCTCAGTTGATATACGATGGAGGCTTGTTTATCAGATACTGATCACATAACATAATTATCTTCGCCTGCCTTCTGTCATTACGTTTTCAAATCCGTGGACACAGGACAATGAGTCTTTAAGAGACATGATTGCATAGTGTTGTAAATAGTACTTGGACAGAGTTAATAGTGTAAATAGTCCATTAAGATACACAGCGCTACCAGTTCAGCAGGGCAAAATCGTATTCCCCTCCTAAAACCACTCAATGCAAAGAATTGTGGTTGCTCTTTGAAGACAGTAGGAAGATGCATACTTTGATAGTTATATATGTTCCAAAATAGTCTAAGTACTCCAATAATTAATATTTCTAGCAAGTCTTATACCATAATGGTACTGGAAAATACATGGTAGCATTTTGGTGGAACAAGTATATTTACAATTATGGCTTGACCTCAGGTCAAGGTATGGTGGTCAAGCTATAAAATTGCACTGGTTACGACAATATGTAATTACTGTAGTTACAACATAGGTACAATGACAGTGTAGTTTATCACCGTATTGCTAGGTGAATTAAACAGTACCCTGTAGTTGTGACGTTCCGTTGTAAAATTGTGAACCCTTTAATGAATAACGTATTCATTTATTCAGTAGGCACAACTTAAGTATAGTTTCAGTAGTCACAGCAAAGGCATAATGACAGGTTTTTACGGCAAACGCTGGGAAGCGTACAAATACACTACCAATCGGCTGTCCAAGGTGTGTAATGCGAAGGTATGAAGGCGACATGTCGGATCGTCGGATAGCTGCCCTTGCTTCCTCGATCTGCTGTCTTGTATGCTGGGAGGAAGAAAGACAAGGATAATACTTGTAATACTTCAGGTCAAGCTAAGTTCAGATTCAAGTAATCAGGTTTACAGGACGAAACATGAGCACAAAACACAGTAGTTGTAGGATTATATGAATTAGGGTAAGATAGATATAATGACAATCAGAAGATTCTGCAATGTTCCCCTTGAAGGATGCTCATGGGCTCTGGTATGGATATTTATGAACGGAGCGATTTTTAGCATCTTTATATAGTCCCAAAGCGAGCTATGCGAAGGTATAAAGGCGACATGTCTGATCGTGAATCAGCTGTCTGGTATGCTGGGAGGAGAAACAGATAACGATAAAATGTGTATTACTTCAGTTCAGATTCAAGTTATCAGTTTCGATGTGGATATAGTTTTACAGAAAAAAATATCTGTACATAACACGGTAGTTGTAGGATCTTTGAAATGAAATAGGGTAATGTTGAATCTGAAATATAAGATAGTTAGGCGATAAATCGCAAAAAAACAACAATGAAAAACGAAGCGTGGTTTATTTCACGAAAAAATATTGTTCTATCATTTCCGGAGATTCGAAAACGCTCGCAACTAGATGACGTCTACATTGGACGACGTTACTTTTTAGAGGGAAGTGTCTAGTGAGTTGTTCCCCATAGATGTAGCTGGGCCACGCAGATATACACTACTGCCTAGAAGTTCATTCCCCTTACACGCATGGGCAACGCGTTACGCAACCAGTGTGCATCGGGTTGGTCACGCGTGTGATACCCGTGTGCAACGCGTTGCACACGGGTGTGCACCCCGTCCGCCACTCGTGTGCAACGCGTGACACACTCATTAGAGGGGGAACAAACTTTTGACCAAAGGAGGACCCGTCTTAAGCTGACCCTGGAGGTGGTAACAAGGAGAGAAAATTTTGTTATCCTGACGAAAAATGATAATACACATGTATTTGCTAATGTCTCCTTTCTTTATGTGATTTTGTGGGAATAACATGAATACTGTTGTGTTTAAATAGATCTGTCTTGTTTTATACGACCATTGCTTCTAAATCCGATGGTGTTAAGAGAATACATGGTCCTGGAACATGTTATTGCAATTGAAATGCTTTTATTGTGATTTGACATTAACCGTCTGTAGTACGACTTTCAGTGATAATATGTATGAGGTTTGGCGGCGCATTGTTTTTATTGGACCCTAATTACTTTATGATGACTTGGACTCTTTATCTCAGCTCCATAGCAGTGAGGCTGGGAAAGAGCAGCATGTAATTAATGAGGGTGGGTTATATCATTGAGGATACACTTGAGGGAGAGAATACTAATTACCGTACTACAGGAAGAGACCTGTAGACGTAAGCGCTGGGTTGTGTTTTAGCTGGCCGTTCGATAATGGCCGCCAGGAGAAGTGAGCTTTGACTGCGTCATCTAAAATAAATAGTAAGAAACAGCAGTGTTATTTTCACGGGTCTGTTGAATAAACTCCCAGCGCTACGGTCAATGTATCTTCTACTTGATCCTTGATACATCATTTTGGCATTCACAATATATAGTAATTCAACGTACAAAGGAGCACTGATCTAAAGCAATTCCGCGGGAGTAGTTGTTACCTGTGCATTACTGTATTTTCCCAGTGAGTACCCGGATGATATAGCAGAAATCTAGACTTGTTCGCGACCTGTGCTCGCCATTCGTAAGCGCATTTTTATTGAAAGTAGAAGGACGTATGGTCACATTGATCAACAAAAATGAAATACAGTTTTGGAAATGTAGGTATATTGTGGGGAGCATCGGTAATGGTGATGCAGTTTTGGTAAGTCACTTGCTTGGTAATTGTGCGATCTTTGTGTACACTATTTTGACTTGCAACACAAAGTAAATATTTCATCTGAACATTGCTTATTTTACCGTGTGTATATGTTTACATTCAAAATGTAAACATATTTCACTAAGGAAATTTATTAAACGCCTAAATATTCAGTTTATTTTACAAATTAACTGAAAAATATGTCCATCTTTATTAATATGATAACGAATTCCAAATATTTGTTTATGTTTAATATCATCACCAAGTACAGTTCTGTATTGTTGGGCTTCTTTTCTTAGCATAATTAATATATTGTGATGTGTTTAAGCTCTTTTGATCGTCTTTATCATTTTTAGCCTGTCGGTTAAATAAATGAATGGATTATTCAGTCAATTTGTAAAATGACTGAAATATTTAGATATTTAATAAATTGCCTGAGTGAATCATATTTTACACATTGACTGTAACATATACACGCTTACAAAAGAAAATACTTGTGAAAACAACGTCTATCGCGCATCGAAAAACTTCCCAAACAAACGGAAAGGAACAAGAATGATTCTGTTCAAAGCTGCAGCGAATGAATGAAAACAAAATGCAAATATAATTATTACAACCTACCAAAGTTATAATGTATCCGGGAATATCAACATAAAGGAACAATATCCATTGCGTCTGCAGCTGTACAAAAATACTTATTCGATGTCAAATGTCTATGTGAGAATCAAATACTTTAATAATAATTATTTGGAAACAATATTTGGAATATAGCCTGCAACCTCGGGGTATCGCGGTACTTGTAATGTACGCTATAAGGAACAAAATGCACTCACCAACCTTTATGATTATTCGTGTTCTCTGTATCAGATATCATTCATTTTATCAAACAATGCATATTTTACTGATAAAAGTTAATTATTTACATTAGTAGCTCCGAGTAAAAGCCGGGCCTCGCGCTCTGTTTGACAAGGAAGAGAACTCCATCGTATCGCGGTACAGAGAAAAGTTGTGTATGGAGGTCCGAATTGGACAAAAAGAGGACATAATTCTACCAACCACTTGGTATGATCATGCCAGACATCAGTGATTTGTCCAGACAAGTGCAAAGACGGCACAAGTACAATTCTAAATGTGTTATCAGCAATAGGTATTCAATGCATTTTTCCCGAAAAGTAAGAGAAAAATATTTTTATAAGTCAACAACAAAATATCAGAAATGATATTTTAAGATTGTTTAAAAAAACTTGGATGACAATGACTTGTCACAAAATGGAAAAATGTTAAATGTCAACAATAAATATATAAAAAGCACTCCTAGAATGCCCAAAGTATGTATTTATCTTTTGGTTACTAGTGAAGAACGTATTTCTAAGTTTGGCATTATGGCCCTTATGATCTCCCAATAAATTCTGGGCACAGAGCGGGAAAAAATGTGCGGACTACGTAACTTCCGTTACCTCATTAGTCGCCATGAATATGCAGATGATCTAGTTCAGGTCGATAGAGAAAGTTTACTTGGGGAACTGCTGGTTATATCGTTGGCCATTGATAGATGGGGGTAAAGCAATATTACAACAGATGCCAGAAATATGTATCAACGGATTAATAACTCCTTACTTACAGCAGACGGAACATTCCGAGGAAATTGAAATTGTTTACGAAGTGAGCACTTCCTGGTTACCGTTTTGCATTAATAGACAGCCGCTTACAGGCGTGTCCCGCGGTAACTACCAGAAATCACAAATGCCGCGATACGATGAATGCCGCGGTACCATGGGGTCCGAATATATATGAAATATATTAAAATATTTAAATATATCGTTTTAAACGTTATTTAAATGTATCGAATATTATAACCCGTGTTTGTTTCTTAGCTGATCACTTAGTTTGTTTCAATTGTTTCCCATAGCTGCCAAGTTAGCTGAGAAAGCCCACGTGACAACTATTTTTATAATGTCCTCGGTTCTTAAAAACATACATTGAGTTAGATAACAATGAACAACCAGTCAGTGTAGTATCGGTTACCCTTTGAACAAAGTACGTTGTTTTTACATCTGTACTTCACGCCATGATATGAGTGTATTGCCTAGGTTTAGTAAACCTACCTTCACATGTAAACACTTACTTTTGACATATCCACTGTGCAAGATAACAGTAATTAATCAATCAACGTATTTCCTGTTGATCCTTTGATGTCTGGGAATGATCAGTTGATTTACAAAAAAAAGTAAAGCAACTGACCATACATCTCTTGCTGGGCTGCCACGTGCGTATCACATAACTCACATTCTACCTCACTTCAAACCTGGATTTAGATTGAATAATTACCCCAGGTACAAGAAAGACCAAATTTGAACCTTTATAATCTGAGTGGTGCTACAACTAAGTATACATGTTATAAATTCATTAACTGAGCAGCAAGTGAATTACGACAAATACACAAGTGTAGGGTTATACCAGAAAATGTGGATGACAACAAGGGAGTAGTAATTGTATCATCCACGCAATCCGAAATCCGCAAATGCTTTCACTCAGGGATACTTTTTTATTATTAAACTGTAACCATCAGGGGTATTTCCAAATAACGACATCCGATGAGCTTTCGCCGTTATTTGTCTGTTTGTTTAGGCTGAAGAAATTAATTACCATGCGCCCTTTGTTGAAATCTTCATAGATCACGGGTAACCAATCAGTTTTCAAAAATGCGTAAGCTTATTTAGCTGTCCTTGCAGACTGGTAGCCCAGTCTCTTGTCACGCTCGGTTGCGTTAACGAGCAAATTGACTCACGGCAGCTAGAAAGCCCAAGCGGAAATCCAAAGGTCGTATTACCTGAAGAATCAACCTTCATTTGCGAAATATCTACTGCTCTCAAAATTAAAGTCAGAACTTTCTAACCAAGGATTACCAGTTGAAACAGGTCGATGGCTGAACATTCCCAGGGAAGACAGCCAGTGTCCACTCTGTGAATCTATCGCTATGGGAGATGAATTGCATTAGTTATTCCAATGTGAAGCTTTTCACCAACGGCGATATGAACTCTTAAATAAGCAATATCTTAAGTTTCCAAACATTTAAGAAAATTATGACCATTAACAGTGTAAGAAATCTAAAAGGCCTATCTAAATTCCTTAACAATGTGTACAATACAACTGGTAAATTGTATTAGTATCCACGTATCCTGTTTTTATTATTTTTGTTAAATTGTACATAATAAAAATTGTAGATAATTGTATGTCATGTTATTCTAAGAATAAATGAGTTTGAGTTTGAGTCCGACACCCGAGAAGAAGCCAGAGATTAGTGCCCCTTTGTGAGTGAGTGAGTGAGTATGGTTTTACGCCGCTTTTAGCAATATTCCAGCAATATCACGGCGGGGGACACCAGAAATGGGCTTCACACATTGTACCCATGTCGGGAATCGAACCGGGGTCTTCGGCGTGACGAGCGAACGCTTTAACCACTAGGCTACCCGACCGTCCCGCCCCTTTGTGAATAGTTTACAATCATGTGTTTTAGGGTTAGCTGTGTTGGCTTAAACGTATTTTTATTTCAAAAGAAATCTGGATCGGTAAACAAGCAAAACTTGCTTATGTAATACCACTCCAGGTAACAACTTAACAACAGCTGGATATATATAAGAGAGTGATGAACATAAACATACAAAATGCACAAATGAAATACACGAAGCCAATACACTGAAGCAAGTGGTGTCTGTGAAATAAGGTAATGCAGTTTTCCTTTACTACATGCATAAAATTAAGCTACTCAAACCTTTTGCTTTTGACAATGATGTCGTGAACTGATTTAAGAAGAGTCATGTTTGTAGAACTGCTTAACTACTGCCACGTAATATCATTTTTAGACCATACCCATGTGTGTAGAAATACACAGTGTTTCTGATATTATCGTATTTTTTGACAGTTATAGAAAAAGTGAATTGCATCTTCAAGGTGATATCCACAAGTGCAGTCTGGTATGTCTGATACATGTCGTCTAAACTTATCAGCGTTTAAGTCACTGCAGCCGAGCCTAAGGCGACAGTGGACAATTTGGCATGATCTATGAAAATATTTGAAGTCAAAATTATTAGTAATTGCATCAGAACGATTAATTAATGATTTGATTTCTTTTAATGAGCGAGCATTAGTTACTTCATCCGATAGAGGGTTCCGCAGGTTGATCATATCCAGAAGAAATTATTATTAAGCATAGGTCTGTGTTCTACATTTGATTGTTTGTATGTTGAATCTATTTCTAAGGTTATATTTGCTGTTATCAGAGAATTGAATATACACTTTTCAAATATTTTGGCTGAGCAACTTGTGAGTGCTACAGGTCTATAATTTGAGCATTCATGTTCATCGCTGACACTGACACCGCATCAGCCCGGCAGTGGACTTGACACAGTTATTTGCGCACCGATTATATAACTCCTACAGACAGGGTGGGGTGGTTGTTTAAAGCGAAACGGACGACCCCGTCTGTTATCTAATAAATGCTGTGCAGCGCCTTTGATCTTGCCTCAAAACATACACCTTATAGTAGTAAACGACGATCAGGATGGCCTGGAAATAAACACAATTCTGTCTGCCCAGTGTATCCACAATTAACTAGAATGCTTCATATCCACAAATATATATATAGAAAATAGATATTTGCCCACAGCAAATATTCAATTGCTTAATTGCATCAGTATGGTTTATCAGAACATGTACAATGCTTTCTTACGCTTGGTGAGGCAGACTGAAATTGAACATTAGGATAACGTCAGCAGGGATAAAAGAGGTCATACCAAAGAACTTTAATTACTAGTGGAAAAGTCAGACATTCCGATCAACCACTACCAGGCCCGGCCGGATCACAAGGTTGACCAGATCAACACCCCAAAGGAACATCTCTACGCCAAACAAGGAGTCCCTTTCGTCATGGTGCACAAGAAGGGGGGACAGGACATCGAGTACGACATCACAAACTACACAGACTTGTACTACTTCTTCCAGAGTAGTGGCGTACCGACCTCAAACCACTTCGTCGCCAATACCGCCGCCCTCCTTGCCAAGAGTCTCTACCAGAATCCCAACCCCCAGGATGAGAAGCTGACTAAGAGACTACTAGAAGGATACCGCCGCTAGACTTCTAGCCACACATGTGGGGGGGTTGCACTTCTTTATTTAATCATTACGCTTTTTTACCCTAATAGTATAAGTGCTTCCCCGTGTGCGAGATAGGCTTAAGTCGGAAAGCGCACGTTAAATCTCCGAGGTACCTATCTACCAGAACTTTATTTGCTGTTCTGGTCATACATAAATATATGTAAGTTACGTACATGGGGAGGCTAGATTATTTACAGCTAACAGCAATATAGTGCAAATATTATGTTCAATAAAAGAAAACGTTGATAGATCTATAACACACTTTTTGTACTATTAAACAAACTGTGGACTTTTAAGACATTTTCGCTTATTGTAATAACATCTAGCTAACAAATCATGTCTATCTCTGAAATCCACAAGCATAGTTGCTGTCAAACCTAAAAAACATATTCAGGGAGGTCAGTTTTGACTTGCCAAGCACCTTAAGGTGAGTTTATTTTTAAACTGTCAAAAGCGATTGTCCCTTCAAAACTAGTATATGGCTGGAAGCTGTTTCTCGGACTGTTATGAGTTATGATGTATTTTATGATATTACTGGGGAATGTTCACATTAGTTAATGTCATTTAATCCAACGTTCTAACTGTCAACTGTCTCAACAGGACCATAGGTTTGGTTATATATCTCCTCCCTGTCTCTATGTCTTAAGTTGTTAATCGGTAACTGCGGTCCAAATGTATCAACTTATTCATCTATTGTTGCAAACTTGACTGATTTAAACATATCTAATTGATCATGAACTACTCAGTCAGTCAAGTACCTGTATCAGAAATGTAAAACCAGCCATGTTTCATGTAGTCCCAATATCACTGAAAAATGCCGATGAAACGTGACTTATAAATTTACTCACAGACAATATATTTTTCGTGAGAGTGAAGCACAATTTTATTAAAGTTTTATTAACAATTTCATAAACTATAATAATATTAATATTAAAATTCATCATCACTTGCCAAGTTTATGAACATGTCCCCATTTGGGAGATGTCACATATAAACAAGGATTCGAACTAAGTTTAATCGTCTTTGACACTGAGGTTTATCCCCACTTTGCCAGCAAACTGCAGAAGATTAACAGTGAGTGAGCATCGTTTCTATGTTTATACAAGAAAAGATGTTATGCCAAAAACGCTCACAGTAGTTAGTGAGTAAACTCACGACCTGTCATGACCTGGTTGAGTGACTTCCTCCAATCAACGTGAAAGGATTACCCACAGAGAAAGAAAGGATTAAAGTCACCCATAAATCTTATCCTAACGTAGTACTCCAACTTCTATATGCCTCCCAAAGAAGGATTAAAATCCTAAATATATCATATCTACGTGGTATAGGTACTCACAACCTCTAATAATAAACTGTTACGTTTGGTATCCCCAGCAATACTCACTATGGTCATTGGGCAAATGTAAAAATCACAAACCCTAACGAGATTCTGTCTACATGGTCACACCCGGTGATTGTGAAGATCTCAAATTCTATCAACAGTCAGACAGCATGGCTGTTCATATTCATTTACAACATCCTCTTATAATTAGTATAAAAGTGTCCCACACAAAACCTTCTTTTATTTATTCTTTCAAAATGCAAAACAGAAAGTGGGGTGTGGGGAAATGGGACATATTCCTACGTGAAATAATGAGACATTAGTAGTGGTGACGGCTATATCATAATTGTACTGTCTAAAGTATACATTTGGCGAACGAAAAACGTTATATTTGCAATCAAATGGAATGACTCGTGTGGGCAAATGAATATGTTCGCAAATCCACAAACAATCATTTTATTAATGGCGAACATTTACCAACCCGCGACAATCGTGTCAACACGGGGGTTCCCCTAGCAATAAACTTGCATCTAAATTCACTACTGTTCTACTGTCGGCTAGCCACAATGGCTAGACGGGACCCTAGTGGAATGGTTCATGCCATAAAAGTCTAACAACCGAACACTAATTAAAACGGGCCGACCTTGTATTTACGGTCTGGTGAACACAGCTCAATGGCCGCTCATTAACTCAAATTTCACATCTCACTGTTTTGTTTTATCTCACTATTCATTTGATAATTTTGTCAACTTCAACTGGAACCCGGTCCCGTGTTACACGCGTGGCACACGCGTGTGCAACGGGTTGCACACGCGATGCACACCCGTTGCACACCCGTGTGCAACGGGTGCTCACCCCGTGTGCAACCCGTTGAGCACCCGTGTCACATGCGTGTTACACGCGTTCTCAACGCGTGTTAGGGGAATGAACTTTTAGGCAGTAGTGTACGCTATGGTCGAAACGATCGCATTCAAAAGTGAGCGAGATACGACAATCGCTATTGGGAGAAAAGGTGCAGATAATGACATGAAAATTGTGAGAATACAAAAAATCCTGTACATAAAATGGACATGTCCGACACAGTGTTTAACTGTACGATAAACAACTCCCACTCGTCGTTTATTCCGTAATGAAAATGACACTCGGGAGATTCTGCCATGTTCCCCTTGGAATATGCTAATTGTCTCTCGCATTAATATCATTGATGAGTACGGTTTCAACCTCTATATAAGTAGTCCCTCAAGACTAAAGACTAAAACCTCAATTAATTCCGAAAATTCTCTCAACAAGGTACTTCTTCTTTAAACAAAGTAAACACTGTTTACTGTGCAGGGGAATTTCACTCATCCACATCTCATGCTCACATCAATGAAATCAATGCAAACATAAAAATACAGATAACAAACATACCTCATCCACCGTCAGTGCCACGCATTCATCCTTATTCCAAATTGTGAAGAAAACCGTCACCAAAATATACAGCCTATACATTTCCAGCTGTGAACGCAAAGATGCTGCAAGCTCAGTAGCGAAATACTAGTAGAATAGAATTTTGACGCATTGCACATGCATTAAATATAATATTCGCCTTTGTTATATTCTTGCGCACAGCCGGAAGTTAAAAGATAAAAGTCATTGTGACCCTTCCGTTACGTAACAGCTCAGTAAATTTCATGATGAATAGATGGTGCACGGTAACACACATATAACAAAACTTGTGCACGAATAGTTCTGCTACATGTTTACGTTCATCAGGGAGAAATAATTACATTTACGTTGTGTTCACTGTGCTGCATTCTGACTAGCTGAAGTTGGTCACGTTGTTTGTTATTGCATTTATTCCCAATAAATATGAAACATTAAGCTTTCTAAACTAGTGTCCAAAAGAAACGATACCACCTGTTTGCAACGACATAAAAGAAAAACTAAACAATGCAGAAGTTTAGGATTGGTGTTATGCTTTTGAGAAATCCTTTCACAACATCTGTACAAAAATTTCATTTCAATAAAATCTGTACAACCAATATGACAAGCCTTTAAAGATGGGTGGGGTCGAAAAATGAACATTTCGTTAGAGCACTGATCACAGAAACAACGGAAAATGTCACACCACACGTCTCAAAGTCAAGTCAGTAGCGGGTATGTCCACCGTGAGCATCAATACATGCCAGAACACGCCTACGGACTGATGACGTCAAACGTCTGATGACGTTGGGAGTGATGCGTCGCCATTCCTCGAGGAGACATCGTTCCAAGTCCTGGACGTTGACTGGAGGCACACGGCGACGTCGGATTTGCCGATCGAGGTGGTCCCATAAGTGCTCGATGGGATTCATGTCCGGTGAACATGCGAGCCATGGCAAAACCTGTATGTTGGCGTTGGCAAGGAAGTTCTGTGTCAATCTTGCTGTGTGTGGCCTTGCATTGTCATGTTGGAAAAGGAGTCCACGAGGCTGTTGCTGATTAAAGGGCACCACAACAGGCCGTAGGATGTCATCAAGATAACGCTGTGCATTCAGGTTTCCACGAATTACGACAAGCATCGTTTTGACGTCACCACATATGCCACCCCAAACCATTAACCCTCCACCTCCAAACGGCCGGACCTGTTGGATACAGTTAGGCGCCAAACGTTCACCAAATCGTCGGTATACAAGCTGCCGTCCATCGTTTCTGAAGATGAGGAATCTGCTCTCATCAGAGAACATTACACGTGCCCAGTCCCGCCGTTGCCAACGTCGAACTCGCCTGGCCCAGATCAGTCTGTTGTTTCGGTGTCGAGGCGTCAGGAGCGGTCCGCGGTAGGGATGACGTGGCCGGATACCATACTGCCGTAGTCTCCTGTAGACGGTCTGTCGACTGATCCTGTGTCCGTGGACGTCGCTGTTACGGTGCGGTTCCTCAGGTGTAATACCCGGATGTAACGATCTTCACGGGGCGTGGTTACTCTTCCACTCCTGGGCCTGTCTGACGTCTGACCTGTCTGACGTAACCGCTGCATCAACCTGGTGAAAGTGATGCGTGCGCAGCCCAACCTTCTGGCGACGTCGACGTGTGACGCTCCTTGTTGGCCCATTCCAACGGCTCTCTCTCTCTCTCGATGGCTGTCAAACGTGGCATATCTTGTGTTCTTTTTGTTGCTGTGATATCAACGTGTCTGATCAGCCGTTTTATACAGTTTTTCTGCACGTGCAGAACATGCTAGAGAGGGAAATGTCACTTTCACGAAATTTACGTTTTTTCCCGGAAGTGATCACGTGTTCCCGGTATTTTTTATCGACTATGCTGTGTTTGGGATGTGCAATACGAATTGGCATGTTTTCATAGTTGACAATTCACTTAGTAAAAAACAATTTTGAAAATAAGTTGGTATCGTTTCTTTTGGACACTAGTTTACATGCACCACTACGGAATGTCGGAGAATCCCATTTACAGTCGAGGGAATGAATACCTTGTTTCTGCTCACCTGCACTATCATGCACAGGACGTTTTTGCGAAATGCATGAATATTCATCATGCAAACCGCCCTTTGAGGCCCTCGCTCGCCTGGGCTCCACAAATTTCATGACTTCGATTTCATTTCTTACTCGAATGTTTCCAAACTGTGTCTTCTCTTTGCCAAGGAACTGATGTTTTAATAAATTAAATGTATGTTTTCAAACGCCGGGAATGTTTATCAATCTCATTCATTTTTATCTGCTTTGATTTGTATATTTGTTTTTGATTATCTATTATTATAATAATAATAATAATGATAATAATAATAATAATAATAATAATTATAATTATAATTATAATTATAATAATAATAATAATTATAATAATAAATGTTTTCGTTGTAAAAATTAATTATAATGACATACTGTGTAATTTTGTCGGTATCAATCGAAAAACCTGTGTTCAAACAATACATGGCCAATCCTAAGCGATTACAGTTATAACATCCTTTTATTATGACGTCACAATGCAGCTGTACACAAATACTGTGACATCACGATGATTGGCAGCTTTACAACATTAATCTACTTTTGAAGCATAGTACGTTTATTTCCATTCTAACATGACCGATCTAAAAATTGAAAGCCTTCGTTTCACGGAAGACAGTGTGTAATCTGGCATGGTACGAGAGGCAAATTGAGCTCGTTTGTGAAAGGGGTACTCGTAGTTGTAGGATGTTATGACATAGGGTAATATTGCAACTAGTTCTAATAACAATCAGAAGATTCTGCAATGTTCCCCTTGAAGGATGCTCATGGTCTGTGGTATGGATTTATGGACAGAAAGACATCATAATGTTTATATTACTGGTCCCAGGGTGCGCTATGCGAAGGAAAAAGGTGACATGTCTGATCGTCGGATAGCCGCCCTTGCTTCCTTAATGTGCTGTCTGGTATGTCATGAGAAGAAAAAGATGAAGATAATATTGGTATTACTTCAGTTCAGATTCAAGTAATCAGTTTCGAAATGGATATAGTTTTACATAAAGAAATATCTGTACAGAACTCGGTAGTTATAGGATGTTTGAAATGAAATAAGGTAATGTTGAATCTGAAATATAAGAAAGCTAGGTGAAAAATCACACTCACATCCTTGAAAAGACTTACAACATGTTGATATCTCAAAGATTCAGTGGACACAGTGTTTTACTGTACGATTAACAACTCCCACTCTTCGTTTGTTTCTTAATATTAAAATGACACTCGGCAGATTCTACCATGTTCCCCTTTGAATATGCTCATTGTCTCTCGTATTAATATTTATGATGAGAACGATTTGTACATCTATATATAAGTTGTCCATCGGGTGTGACAGGGATACAGACTAAAACCTAAATTAAATCCGAAAACTCTCTCAACAAGGTACTTCGTCTTTAAACAAAGTGAACACACTTTACTGTGTTTCACTCATCCACATCTCATGCTTACATCAATGAAGTCAATGTAAACGTTAAAAAAAGGAAACAAACATACCTCAGCCACCGTCAGTGCCATACATTCATCCTTATTCCAAATTGTGAAAGAAGCCGTCACCAAAATACACAGCCTATACATTTCCAGATGTGAACTCAAAGGTGCTGCAAGCTCAATAGCCAAATACTCGTAGAGAAGGTAAAATGCTGCATTGTGTATCTAAGATATTGATGAACAATAGCATAGTATTCGCCTTTGTTAAATTCTTGCACACAGCCGGTAGTTAATCAAGAAAAGTACAAAGTCATTGTGGCAACAGCTTAGTAAACGCACGCACTAATGACACGACATAAATTGTTCTCCTACATGTTTACGTTCATCAGGTAGAAATAATTAAATTTACGTTGTGTTCATTGTACTATATTCTGACAAGCTAAATTTGGTCACGTTGGTTGTTACTGCACTTATTCCCAATAAATGTAAAAAGAATAAGCCTTCTACATTCACCACTACGGAATGTCGGAGAATTCAAATTACAGTCGGGGGAATTCCATGTTTCTGGTCACCTGTACCATCATGCATAGAAAGTTTTATCGAAATGCATTTATTTTCATTGCACAAACCACCCTTCAAGGCCGAAGGCCGAGAAGGAATGAAACAGCAAACGTACAGGCTCGCTCGCCTGGGTTCCACAAATTTCATGACTTCGCGTTCATTTCTAACATGATTGTTTCCATACTGTGTCTTCCCGTTGCCAAAGAACTAATGTTTGAACAGCCGCCTTCTCCCTGACATATTGTTCCAGTTCTTCTCATCTATTGCCTTGATTGACAGGTCCTATGAACTTTGTTTGATGCTACGCTCAGTCGATTGGCTACTGACTTTGTGTCAAGTTGTGTTCAAGAAAAGCATCACCTGATTCATGTCACGACACAGCACGTATTCAAACGCCGGGAATGTTTATCAATCTCTTCATTTCTATCTGCTTTGATTTATGTTATTGTTGTGGATTAATCTTTAATAATAATAATAATGCATGTTTTCGTTACAATTACCGACTGTGTATAATTCTGTCGGTTCATTGAGGTATGAATCGAAAAACCTGTGTTCAAACAATACACGGCCAATCCTAAGTGATTAATCATAATCATAATTTGAAACACAGTATGTTTATTTCCAGTTTTCCATGACTGATTTAAAACTCCTTCTCTCTGCGTAATCCGGTGTCACGAAATATATTCGCCCCCAGAATAAAACCTCCCCCCGGCGAATTTATACCGGTACAGTTCTCGCCCCCCCCCCCCCCCCCCCCCCCCCCCAAACCACCACACACACACACCTACGAAATAAAATATCCCCCCAGAATAACCCCCACCCCCGGTCGTTTTATAAATACTTGCCATGCAGTTCAATAGTTGAGGGCATTGCCTAAAAGTCGGGCCAAGACGGGCCAAAGTGTTATTGGCTAATTACTTCATTATCGGCGATCATACCTACATATTATTAATGCAACATACACACATGACATTAATGAACAATCACCAACCAAAAACGTGCACCATAATTAAGTTATTCGGAGTAAATCACTTGAAAACCAGAAAGTGGAGCTGTGTGTAAGCGTCG